CCTGCACTGTGAATGTTTACATGTTATGTTCAATTAAACCATGGCAACATGTAATGTTTGTGTATTATTATTTTCAGCAGACTGTGTTTTTCTATTGTTGTGACTTAGATGACGTTCAGAGCACATTTTATGACCAATTCATGCAAAACTCCACGTTATCCCAAGGGGTTCACATACTTTTTCTTGCAACTGTATATATATATATTTCAAAATTTGGATTGCTAACAAAGAATTAAGGGAGAACTGGAATATTTGGGCCGACAGGGTGCACCAAACTCTCTATATATTTATAGAGAGAGAGAGTTTGGTGCACCCTGTCGGCCCAAATATTCCAGTTCTCCCTTAATTCTTTGTATATATATATATATATATATATATATATATATTTGTAATATATATATATTAATAATATCAGTAAATTAGATTGGATTCTCCTGGTGATCGTAATTGATTTACTTTGTGATATATATATATATATATATATATATATATATATATATATATATATATATATATATATATATATATATTAAACTTTTCACAGAACTTAGAAGACAACGTCTTCTGCAAACGACATGCAAAGTTGGAGTTGGATGAGAAAAGGAGGAAAAGGTGAGTGATGAAATAAAGCTGTTTTACATGTCAGAACCTTCAGCAGCCACTTTTATTTAAACATTTAACAATTAACAGTACATAGAAGGTGTACTGATTGCAAACAGTTAACAATGGGGTATGTAATAATATGAAAGGTTTTGTGCAGTTGGTATGTCTTAAATCTTTTGCCATTACAGATAGTTCTCAACTTTCAAGTGTAATGGAGCCTGCCCGTTACAGTCACATGTCACAACAGCCGTTAAGTGAAGCACCTGACTTAATGACCTCCCCATCCCTGCTTTCCCCAATGCAATTGTTAAATGTGCGGGTTAAGTGGAACACAGGGTGCCTCGGGGTGGGGCAGGTCTTTGGAGGCCTAGTGCAGGACCAGGCCCACCTGCTCTGGGCCTCCCAAGGCCTCCCCCACCTCTGAGGCACCCTGTGCTCTGCTCCCTGTCCCCCAGAGTTCCCCAGGCCTCATCCTGCTCCAAAGACAGCTATTGAGCCAGGCAAGGGAGCCTAAATCCGGTCAGCAGAAGCAACCGGCACATGGAGGGCAGTTACAGCCTGTAGGCGGAGGCCTACTTCCCAACTGGCCATCCAAGGGCCTCCCGAGGCCTGCTCTCAAGATAGCTATTGAGCCAGGCAAGGGAGCCTAAAGACGGTCAGCAGAATCGACCAGCACACGGATGGCTGATGCAATGCAAGGCTCAGCTTTCTTACAGAGGCTGGCAACCTCATGCTATTCTCCTAGCAAGTAGTACTTCTCACGAGACTGTAGGGAGCTTTGTTTTTGAGGAAGCTCCACATTGGCTGAGCTGTGCAAAAAACAAAATGGTAAGTTGAGCTGCTTCTGGGCCCTGGGGCTGGGAAAAGAGCAGGCTGAGTCCTTTAAGTCCCTTGGGTGACTGGATGGGAAGTAGGCCTCAGCCTAAGGCTGTAACTACCCTCTGTGTGCCAGTTGCTTCTGCTGACTGGATTTAGGCTCCCTTGCCTGGCTGAGCGACCATCTTGGGAGCAGGCCAAGGCCTGGTGGGACCTCGTGGGATGGGTAGGGGAGGTGGGAAGGGCTTTAGTGTTCCTGCGGTTGGTCTTAAGGATGAAAAATGGAGGGGGCACTGCAGCGGCCATAACTTTGAAACTGGGTCACCAGTACCTTTTGGAGTGGTCTATTGTAACTACGAACAGTTGCTAAGCAACTGGTTGTAAGTTGAGGGCTACCTGTATGCATTTGCTTTATACTGTGTGCTGAGTGGCTTTGGATTGGGACTTTGTTCTTATTTAGTTGAAGAAAGCATGAGTAGCAATTTCATCTAGCAAGGGATTAAGCAAGAGCATATTTTATGATTTGGCTGTAATACAAGAACTTGGGAGAACCTATAGAAATTCAGAAACATGTTTAATACAAAGAGATGCGTTACTTTTGTTCTAAAATACTCAGATTTGCCCACAAATGAAATTTTGAGACTTTTCTGTTGTTGTTCCTTTGACTCCTCCACTCGCAGGTGGGATATTCAGCGTATCCGGGAACAAAGAATCTTGCAACGATTGCAACTTAGAATGTATAAAAAAAAAGGAATTCAGGAATCTGAGCCTGAAGTTGCCTCATTTTTTCCAGAGTCAGATGATGGTAAGTGGTTATCAAAATTCTCATATCTTATGCACAGAGAATCTGGGATGATTCTATTGTAAAAACATATATTTTCAAATAAGTATAATATGTGAATGAACGTTGTTGCTAAATATATAATGTTGTTCTCTCTTCCATTTCCTCTTCTAGTTGAAAGTTTGCTGATCACACCATATTTGCCTGTTGTAGCATTTGGGCGACCATTACCAAAATTAACCCCACAGTAAGTATACCAATGTACTATATAGCTGCATTAAGTCAAGTCAAGTAAGTTTATTACAGTCAAAGACCAGAGACCAGAACAAGTTAAAAACACTAAAGGAATATCCGGTAAAAAAATCTAAAATAAAATAATAAATAACAGATAAAATCTATATTAAAATCACAATTTGGCATCCAATGCGTCAGTTACACATGAGCAAAACACAGCATGGCCTAGCTATACTATAATATTAATCCTTAAACTGTGAGGCCCATGGTCATTAAATATTAAAATGCAAAAGAATAGTAATGCAAAAGGGTTTCCTGAGTTACTTGTGTAAAATATGAGGGCAATTTGGAAATAAACCTCCGTTTGGTTATCAATGACAGACACTCGCAGATACAGAACTTTTATTATACACATTAGAAAACTACAACATTACATTACTTTTTGACATAATTGCCATTCAAAGTGAGGCACTTGTCATAACGTCTTACATGGTTTGAAATTCCTTAGTAGTAGTCGCTCGGCGCCAAATCTGGGCTATAGGGGTGTGTGTGATCAAAAACATCCCAACGGAACTGCTTCAAAAGTTCTTGGGTGCATCTAGAGGTTTGTGGGCGAGCATTATCGTGAACCAACACCACACTGGAAGTCAGCATACCCCAACGCTTGTTATGGATGGCTTGTCTGAGTTTTCGTAACGTTTCACAGTAGACTTCTGAATTGATGGTCAAACCACACTCCATGAACTTTACTAGCAGTACTCCTTTGGCATCTTCACATTTGGCGGGATTTTCTATGGCATCACTTCCGGTGTGTTGGTTCACGATAATGCTCGCCCACACACTGCTAGACGCACCCAAGAACTTTTGAAGCAGTTCCGTTTTTGATCACCCCCCCCAGCCCAGATTTGGCGCCGAGCGACTACTACTAAGGAATTTCAAACCTTGTAAGACATTATGACAAGTGCCTCAATTTGAATGGCAATTATGTTGAAAAGTAATGTAATGTTGTAGTTTTCTAATGTGTATAATAAAAGTTCTGTATCTGCGAGTGTCTGTCATTGATAACCAAACGGAGGTTTATTTCCAAATTGCCCTCGTAGCTATGGTGGAGTAATTACGTGTTTCTGACAAATCCTCCGTGCTGCTGCGCAAAATCTGGCCACCACCGCTGTAATCACAGTCTGTTCATCCTTAAGCAGCCACTGGAGATGAGCAGTGTCAGAATGGCCAGGATACCTATCAATTATTGGGAGGATATATTTTTTTCGAATTTCTCTATAAAAAGAGCATTGAAGGAGTGTGTGTCCAACGGTCTCCACCTCTCCTGAGCCACAGGAACAGAGTCTTTCAGTCAATGGTATCTTTTTATACTTGCCATGCAGGACAGCCAATGGAAGCGCATGGCACCGTGCAAGCGAAAATGCTTTCCGGTGATTTGCCATCTCCAACTGGCTAAGATAACTGGCAGGAGTAACAATATATCTAATACAGTCTGGAGCCAGAAACAATGGAGCTTTCAATAAGTCCGCTTGCCTCTCAATGTCCTCTACCCTTTGTCGCAAGGTTTGTTTTGCTTGGTCGTAGTCCAACTTGAGTATTGAGGCTGGAGAAAAGCCTAGTTTGGCAAGGCTGGACTCAACGGCCTTGATCCATGAAGAGGGGAATTTGTCTTGGAGGATTAATGGAGCAAGGCCTTGCGGAAAGAAATTAAGCTTTAGCCAAAGGTTCAAAGAAGTTATACAGATTCTTGCTTCAACTTTTATCAATCCCGTCTCCAGGTGCAGAAGTGCATTTGAGACACAATGCGGCATCTGGAGAATTGCTCTAATAAATTTGGATTGAACTCTTTCCAATGGTGCGAAACATAAACCTTGGGTTTCACTGTGATGAGAGAATGCCAATTTAATACTTTATTAAATAGCATTTAACCCAGGGGTCTTCAAACTTGGCCCTTTTATGACTTGTGGACTTCAACTCCCAGAATTCCACAAGTCATAAAAGGGCCAAGTTTGAAGACCCCTGATTTAACCAATATTGTTACCTTTAGGAAATATGGGACAGGTTGGGAAGCTCATTTGTAAACTCCTGACTTTCAGCAGTTGCTTGTTCACGGATTAAGCAAAGAAATACTTGTCACTATCAATCCTATCTCAGAGAAATATACTATTGTTTAGAAAAGATGCTGTTTATCATTTTACAAGGGGGAACCTTGAATTTTTCCCTTTTTTAAATGCTTCCACTTTCTAATTTTGTTGATGGATTCTCCCATCGTAATGGTATCATAGAAATCACATTTCTGTGGCCTTCATATTACTTGCATTCTTGAAGTTGTGGTTTACTTCCTTTCACATTGCAAAGGTAAGGAGGTGAAAATGTATTGATAAAATACTTTGAAATTTGGTTTTACTTTTAGCTCCCATGAATTAAAATTCACATTTTCATTTTTTCCGTTTTTTTCAACAATTAATAGTGGCTGGCTTTACACATTGCACTAAGCCATAATGTGGTTGTTGAAGTTTCATCTTTGCGTGTTGTGTGGATGCATTTGTTACAGCTTGTAATCTGTTTCTTAAGGGATAGCAGGTGATGTGAACTCAGCTAATTGTGGTTTATTCAGCAAAAATGATTTAACAGCACCCAATATTGCAGAAGAATGCTAAGGTGAAACACTTTTTCAGTAGCTAAAGTTCAATATCATCTATATTCAAATGTTATGCAAATATTCTAGAAAATTTTTTTTTAGTTTGTGTTTGATTTCTAGTATGATCTCTGCCGCCAGGCATGTCGGCTTGCAGCTGAGTTACGCAAATGTAGACATAACTGCTAACCCCTTTCTTCTCTTCACCATCACTAACAATTTTCTGTGGACCACTTTCTGTCTGTCAGGAACTTTGAACTGCCATGGCTGGATGAACGAAGTCGTTGCCGGCTAGAGATGCAGAAGAAACAGACACCTCATCGAACGTGCAGGAAATAAGCATGTCAAACTAGGAGATATCTGTCTTGATGGTTGGCCTGTGTTATTTGCTACAAATGGCAGAGAACTGTATGTTTTGTTATGTTACTTTTTTCTACCATCCTCCATGATGTACATTGTTGTCAACTATAAATATTTTTATGCTTATCCTTTTTTTTCTTTTTCCCCTGGAATTTTTTTCACTTGTTTTTCATTTTTTTTCTTTTGCTTGGTAGAAAGTATTGGAGGCTTGTGTTGAGAGAATAAGGTTAGCAATTTATGGTATGCCTCTGTTGCACTGTATTGGGTAGCTGAAACCAACATAATCCACTGAGAAGCTATGAAAGATGGACAAGCATATAATGAAACATTTCCCATTTGTGAGTTCCTCACAAACACGAAATCTACCTGATTTTTATACACACACACATATATATACACACACATATATACTGTGTGTGTATATATATATATATTTCCTAGGAATAATTAGCTTGCTAATTAAGGGCCTTGAAAATTTGGGTGAGGGGGTTATGCATCATTGAGCAACACAGACATTTCATTTGACCTATTGCTTCTAATTGCTGTTCTATGAAGCATCCACATATTGATTCATGTATTTTCCCCTTCTCCATTGGCTTTTCAAGGCCTTTTTATGGGTTCCTTTCATGCCTTCTGATCAAAATACAATTACTAATCAGGTCTTGAATTTGTAATACTGAATGCAGGTAGTTCTGGTAATGAAGGGCTACATGCCTTCACAACTTTGTCACAGTTCTGATAATTTGGCAAAATCCAGAATTAACCATATAATGCTAGTTTGTCTCTAGATGTTTTCCTGTTTTGTTTTGCCAGATATCCTGTCAAAACTGAAACAATTGTTATTGGGGTTTTTTTATTTGAACTGTTTGGGTTTCCCAATAGAAATACTGAGTAGTAGCTGAAACTTTAATTTGTGATTGTTTTAAAGTTTGACACTTTTTAAAGCCAATCATAATCACGTAACTTTTACAGTATGTAGAAATCAAAACTTCCATCCTTCCTTGAGAATAAGGAATTCCTTTGTAAACCTGCATGTCCTTCTGCCTGAGGTACATAATTTTTGGAAGCTGCCTTTGTTTGTGTATTGCCTGCTTAGAATACTGATTATTTTTTTTGCAATCACTAAAATTTCTAGATAAATTGAGAAAAATTTTCTGTTTCCTGGATTGTAAAAAAAAACACCCTAATTTGGGTTATTTTCCTGCATCACTTACGCAGGACACTAAAAAAAGGTCGCATTTTTCCATTTTAATTTCCATATGTTTCAGGACGGTTGCAGTCCCACTTCTGAGTAATTTTCCCTAGGAATTTAAAATACTATTTTCCCACCAAAGGTAGCACACTTAGTATGAGCATTATTGAAAGTTATATTCTATGACGTGAAATTAAAATGACAACAGAACCTGTCTTCTGCCATGTAGTCTATTGAAGTCATGCAAAATGTTTGCCTAATTTTGCTTTAAATAAGACTGTATTTGGATCTTTTTGTTTTTAGCATGCCAGCATGCATCCATAAGTGGTTGTTTTTTATCCCCTGCAAAGGTGGATGTTTCAAAGAAGCAGACTTTTGGTAGAAACTTCTTGAAGGCAATGTTGATTTTAGAACTTGATCTTGCTTTTTCTTTTCTTTTTTTTCCAAGTATAAAATTTTTTATTGTTTTCATCATAGAAAAAAACATCACAAGTATTTCACAATGCTATAAAAAAAGCCCCACCCCCCACCCGCCCACCCCCCGGACTTCCCAAACCTAATCCCAGGGTACTATTCAGATATAAGTAAACTAATATTAATATCCCTAACTCCACAGAGTATATTATTCTACATGAGTAGGTAAAATATATAGAAAAAAAACAAATTAATTAGAAACCTAAATTATATTCCACCACTCTATGCTTCTTTTG